TATTGAACGTTGGGAAAGTTTTATTCCTTATTAAATCAGAATTATCCCTTCATCAATCCTTTTCCATGCATTAATGCTTGCCAACGTCCTGAAATTCAATTTTTGAATGCCTCTGACTTTCATAACCGAAGGTCTAGAGAGTGACTTTTTTCATTATTAATTGTTTAATGTTTATATAGAAATTATCATGAAAAAATGACCAGAAAAAAGAACTAAAAATTTGTAAATGCTAAATAAGGAATATCAATAAAAATTTTTTGTCATTTGTAAATTCAATATTGTCAACATCAAATGCAATGTTGTTATCAAACGTGATTTAGAATTTAATAATTTCCAACTTCTTTTTTTTTTTTGTCATTCTTCCAATTATCATTCCCTCCTTTTGTTTTATATGCTAGTTTTTTCTCAAGCAAATTTTTGTTTTTATTTTCAATTTTTTTTATAGAACGATATATTACCTCTAATCCTTAATATAAGAGCTAGTTGACTAATTTTGAGAGATTACAAAAACTAGTTAAGTTAGTTATTTGTAATAAATATGTGTTATCTTTCTTAAAATATTTTTAATAATCAAGTGTAAGGGCTAAAATTACTATTATTATAATGACTATTTTAAAAAAAAAGACAAATATGAGAAATAAAATAGTTTAGGATTTTATTTTTAGAATCAAATAAAAATTAAACGAGTTTATAAATTAAAAACCGGAGGCAGTATAAAACTGAATCAAATTTGAACGCTGTCCAGTTCAACTGGGGAACATCTTTTAAAAGAATTTTTTTGCAATTACATAAATTTAAATTTGATACTCGCCAAAATCCCTTTTCTGAGGATCAACATTCATGAGTTACTATACATAGCCAAACAAGCAAAGAATTTATGTCGGCCAAAGAAAAAGTAAAAAATTTATATAAGATTTACAAGACAAATTTTTTAATGATCCTAATTAAATCTAATTAAAATATCAAAATTCAAATTCAAGTCTACACTTTTAATAAATTCTTAATCAAGCTAAAAGACTTAATTAGAATTTTTTTAATGTTGTTAAAAGACCTAATGTCCCTATATAGTTAAAAGAAAAAAGAAAAATGAAAGTAGGTGCAGGCCTAATTTCAATTTTAATTATTTCAATTGGATTTAAATAATATTTTGTTCTTCTTTAGATCATTAAAATTTTTATAAAAAAAAAGATTATGGCCAATAAAAAAACAATTGAAAAATCAAGATTAAAAAAATACCTAATTTCTAGGGATTCATGGAATTACAGAGACACTAGGGCTAATAAAAAATGTTTACAATTTCGAATATTAAAGATTAACTGGATTAAAAAAATTTAAAAAAAAAAGGGATTAAAGATTCAAAGATTTCTCATATACTACTTCTGATCCTAATTATAAGACTTCATTTTATAAACGATGTCTTATAATTAGGACCAGAGATAGTATCTATCAAAATCAAGTTACGAATTTGCAAATCGCACTGGGCTCATCAATTTTTTTTTTAAAAAAATCTCAACTAAATTTAATTATAAAGAGGCACTTTGGTGTTTTGAAAATATGATTAGATCTCTTGGCCTGATTAGGAATTTGTTAATAATGTAAACTTAAATATAGACTTTGGTATTTAAGACAGAATTAATTGGGATTCTCCCAATTTTTCATTATTTATTTTTATAAATACTACTTTTATCAATCTCAAACAAGTCCAATTGCAGTGTTGGGATAAGTGTTAAATACTTAAATCCTTATCTATAAACTGTTAATTATGCGTGGGAATACAATCGCATTATTAATGAACATAATTAAGCGTTGAAAATTCCAATTGTGGCCGGCTACAATGCAAAAGCATAATCAATAATATCCGCTTGTTTTCAGATGCTGATTTTGATTGGGATAAAGGTGCTTAGCTCACACCACTCAATAATTCCGCATAGTGCGTCATTAATTAGACTACAATTATACATTTATACTGCCTCCGGTTTCAGTTTTTGGTATAAAACTTAATTAAGTAATTTGAATAGATTAAAAAAATTAGTTAAGTTTATTTTTTGTAGTAAATATGTGTTGTTTTTTCTAAAATACCCATATTAATTACGTATGTTTGAATTATTCATTGATAGTAACTCCTTAACATATGCAACTACTATATGGATTATTTAAGAAAAAAATAAATAAATATTAGAGACAACACGGATTAAGGTCTTATATTTAAGATTAAATTAAATATTAAACTAACTCTTATATTATAGATCGGAAGTAACAGTGAAAAAAAACCTTTTTTTGTTGTTGCAAGAAGTAAAAACTTCTATTTCATACAAACTTCTAAAAACTAGATTGATCAATGGTGGAAGTAGTGCCCAAGGGTCAATGGTCCCAGTATTATTTTTTTGGGTTAATACAAACTATAGTTTTTTAAGTTTATCTTTATTTTGATTTTGATCTTTTAAGTTTCTTTTCATTTAAAATATTGGTCCCTATAATTCAATAAAAATTTAGATTATTTTGTACTTAGAAAAACCAAAACCTATGTTTTGAAACTTAATGAACCAAAAATTATATTAACTTTTTTTTTACCGGAGTCCTAGTAATCTTAAATTAAACTCAACTCAATCATAATTAAAATAATATAATTTAATTTAAATATGTAAAATATTTATATATAATAAAAACATTAATTATATTTATGTATATCAAATATTATTCTTTCTTAACCTAATCAATTGACTCAGAACTACCGATTCATTGGTGTATTGGCTAATCTCATATGGGTTTAAATTAAATTAAATACCACTATTTAATAGTGAGAAAACAAGAAGTTGGTGAGAATCGGACAGGCTGGAAGCCTAGTGGTGTCGCATCTCTGGTTCCAGATTGGTTCCTGCTATGACTTCCTACACCAAAACAAACACACTATTTATTAACCATTTCATGATCCAAATTCCAAAACCACTTTTTCCATGGCTCATCACTCCCTATAATTTATGTATTATCTCTAATCTTCAATTTAATATGAGACTGGGTTAATTAATTTTAAAAGATTAAATAAATAAATAAATTAACTTAAATTATTTATATTTATTATTATTTTTAAACTAATTTACCTAACTAGTAAATTGATTTATAATTTAATGATGCACATAAACATTTTAGATAAATTATTTAATATATGCTATGATATTACTGAATCTTATATTAAGGACTAAATATAACACTTTTTTTTTTATAATTCCTAGATAAAGCATTATTTGCTCTTCCCTCTATTTCTTATATTAAGCTTAAAAGCACACAAATAAAACATGAGAAGATTTATATTATATTGAACGGATAAATTAATACATGAGAAATATTAGGAGAGTTATCTCCCAATTTTGCTGACAAGTTCAAATTATAACTGATAATATAGAATATAAGATAGTCGTATTAAAAATATATAAAATCTAAATTTAAGACTTCTTTTATAATTCTAATCATAAGCTACTTTCAGGTTTCAACATGTTCTATTAGAAATAGAAATAGCTTTCAACCTTATTAACTTTGTTATAAAAAGTAAAACTTTTTAACTTTATTCTGTTTCAATACTCGTATATACATATTTTAATGAGAATTTTAAGGAAAAACAATAAATTAGCAAAAAAAAAAATTATACATCTTTTTAATAAATTTATAAAATGACTTATATTAAAAAAGAATTCATCAGGATAGGCATAACGGAAGGATATTGTTATTTACTTGCACTCATCATCGTACTTTAACAGACGCCTACTAGGCCCGTTGGCCTTCATGTTTAAAATAACTTATACATATTTTATATAAATTAAAACAAAACTTTTCTCATATATTTACATTATATTTCATAAATTGTTATTAAAAAATTATTTATAAGTTATTTCAAATGGACTCTAAATAATTGTCAAAACATATTATTAAATCTCTGGTCAAAAAAACATATTATTAAATGCCTACCAAACTTGTCCATTATTAATAGGTGCAATCATAATCACTTACTGTAACATTTTATTCTATTTTCTTTAGCTTATTATAGGATTTAGGTTATATGGGTGAGATTAATTCATAATATTTAATATTAAAGCTTATTGAATAAATTGTAAATCATAATTTCTATGATATACATATAAATTATAATAAATAAATAAATAAATAAATAAATAAAAATTATTATTTAAAAATATTATTATTTATAAAAAAAATGAAAAAAAAAATATATATATATATATATATATAATAAAGGGCAAGTGGGTGGCACGTGGGCCATCCACTGCCAGCGGGAAGGAGGGGGGTAAGACCCCGTTGGGCCGTGGCCCTCTTTTAATATAAAAAAAAAAAGTTGCATTTCAAGTGGGGGTCACGTGTACCCCCACTTTCAAATGCTTCCCCCCTCCCCTTTCTGTTTCGTGTCGTATTCCTCTGGTCCGTGTCCTCGCCACCGCCACGACAGTGAGTGAGTGTGAGAGGTAGTTTGAGTGCGTGAGAAAGGAAGGACTCTACTTGGATACATATAATATATTTAGGTAAGCTATTTTTCATCTTACTATTTTTATTTAGCCTTTTCTTTTTCATTTCTGTAAGTTTATAGCTGAAAATAAAGCCTATTAGGGCTTGTTAGATTTTTAATTTTTAAGGTTCCTAACTTATTTTGATGATATTAATGGAGCTTATGGGGTTAGAATAGAAGCCTTATGACTTAGATTTTTAGTTGGATGATTGATTTGAGACAATATAAGTTAGGGTTTGGTTGGGAAATTATGATTTGTGTTAATGATGATATTAATTTCGAAATTTATCTTTTAGTTGAGTTCATTTGAGGTTATATTGAGGATCCAATGCTTAAACTTTGAGGATTGTTGTTGAAATAGTAATGTTGATGATTATTGGAGAGACTTTAACTAGTGGAAGTTGAGTGTTTGGAGTAAATTGAGAAAAATATTATAAGTTATTGATTCTAATGAATGGGAAATGATTAATGGAAGAAGAGAATAGGATTTTAATAATGATTGAAGGCATAGTTGACATATGGTTATTTTTCTAAGAGTTAAAGTAAGCACTTTTTGGAGGTTTTTAGATGATTTGAAAGGTGTAACATCCTAGTTTTTATATATCTAATATTTAAACAAATTTTTATAGAATAGGTAGAGGTTAAATATACATATATGTAATTAAAATAATTCTGATTTTATGTGTGTGTGTGTGTGTGTATGAGAAAATGAATAAAATAGCGATGTCAAGAAGTCCCACATTGATTAAATGATAGGAAGTAGATAAAATAGCAATGTTAAGAAGTCTCACATCGACTAATCTTTAGAGTGAAGGAGTTTGAGGAGCCTATATATAGGAGATAGTGAGTGGAGCTTGAAGTGAGTAAATAATTTTCGCACATATCTGAGGTAGTCTTAGAAAAGTGCTAGTTTGAGTTTATTAACCGTTGGATCGGACTGAAATTTGGTCAGCCCATTTGGGACATCCAAATCGTTAATTTCAACGGTTGGATCATCATTCTGATCTCCGAGTTGCAAGTTATTAGGTACGTTTTTAACTTATATCTTTTGGATTTAGCATAGAGTCCTGAATAGTAAATTAGTATTTTAAAGTTCATTCACCGTTAGATTGAGCTATAATTTGGAGGATAATATCATGATAGATAGGAAATTAAATTCAATGGTTAGATTAAGGGATTAACTTTTGTAGTGAGAATAACCTGGTTCGTACTAATCGTACTAAGTCTATTTGTCTAAGTCCTTTGAAGATGGAATATAAGTTATAAATTTATAGTTTGTCTATTTGCATTATAAATTTGATGATTCTAATAATATAATCTAATAATTAAAGGATATTTAAGTAAGGAAAATTTAGGAATCGAGTCTAAATCACATATATATATGTTCTCATTCCAAACCTTAGAGAAATGTCTTTTAGGCTAGAGTTCTGAGTAAAATTAAAGCTTTTAGAGAAGGAGTTAAAGGCTAGAATTTTGTGAGTAGCCTACTCTAATACTATAGAGATAATATTTTAATTTTGTTTGTAGATATAAACTCTATTGTGACATTTTCGGGGTTGGACTCTGGTTGTAGTTGACTGATAGCTAGGAGACCAGGTAACTAAATTTCTATCTGTTGCATGTTCTAGTATGAAGTTGGTGAGCGGCTTTACAACTAATTCTATAGAAGTATATTACGTTTTGTATGAACTGTCTTGTAGGATGCTATTTTAAAAAGGATTGACATAGTTTGTATTGCAAGAAATTGGTGATCATGATTATGATATGTTATTATGAAATTTTGTTGATTATGCATATAAATGTGTCATTTTGAACCCTGTGCTTCTATTTTGGGTGGGGAAAGGAGATAATTGGAGTTGTTGAGATTCATATACTTGCCACGTGGTATTAGCCTCCATACAGAGCTCTATGGTTGGCTGCTATTATTGTCCCACTAGTTCTTCGAGGGACTGCGACACCCCACTAGTTCTTTGAGGGGGGACCCATGGTCCACCGAGTGCTCTGTGGTCTTTGGCCGGTCCACATCATTCGTGTGGTGAGCTTGTCAGAGTTGCCAGTCAAATGGAAAGAACTTAGCCCATGGGTCTAGTCGGCGGAAATAAGGAGGATATAAGGATGGATTTGGGTTCAGGAATTGCATATGACATGGAATATTCATTGATATTTATATCTTTTAAATAAATGACAAGTGCGTTATCTCTTTTGAAATGTATAAATTGCATGAGAGTGGTGGAAATATTTGTCTTATATGATTATTGTGAGTTTAAATGTTAAATAAATGTTTATCAATTATTATTAACTCTGTGTATCCCACCTGACACCTCACTAGCCCATGCTAGGGTGTGTGATAGGTAGGGATTTAGTTACTGAGACGTTGTCTCATCCCTATTGTTTAACATTTTTCAGGTGAAAGCTTTAAAGGAGGGACGTCAGGGAAGGCTCAGGAGGAGTAAAGCTACATTAGCAACTTGTAGCGTCTCCTCGGTTTATGAGCTATGTTGTATCCTGTATATTGCCACCTTAGGATAAATTGTTTTAATTGATTCATGCATTATTATTTCTTATGTCCTTTGAGTGTACTATTGTGGTATGTGTGCTAATAGGTGGCCAGAGGCCTAGGATGACATATTCGCATGTGATTTGTTTATGAATTTATTATAAAGTATGAATTAAGATTTAATTCTTAACATTTTAACTTATGAGCTATATTATATGTTGTATTATAACTATATTAGATAAGATTAATCCTTTCTTATATAGTTTGTATTTGAATGAGTTAAGAAAAATTCTTTTATCCGTGATAGGATGTATAATTGGGTGCTGCTCTTTTCTATCACGGATAATAATATTATATAATTAGTTAGTGTAGATGATTGTGATATAATTTGAGTTTGTATTTAGCATAGTTTGGTTATAAAATGTTATTTCTTAAAGTTACTATGAAAAAGTTAAGTTTATCTGTTTATTTAGGGAGGTTGTTTCAAAAGGATTATTCTTATTAATAATGTGAATGAGAGAAATAGAGTTGAGAAGCACTAGAAATTGTCACTTGGAAGAATAGAGGAATTATTTTTTTCCTAAAGATAATTTTTTTAAGGTAAGCAATTATGGGGATTTAGTTAATAAACTATTCTAATGCTATATTAATTAGTCTTTTTATATTAATATATGTTTATCAATTTATTATTGTAGAGTGAGCTTGGTTTAGGCTCTTGGGTTTGAATCCCCCTACTTTTAGTTCTTGTGTCAAGAACCTAAGGTAACCACTTTTTAATTTACCTTGTATGCTTGTTGATGTGATTATAAGCATGTGTTGATATTATAAATGTTATCAATATATGTTATGGTGATTTTTGTATGAAAGGTAATTTATATATCTATATCAAGATTTATGTTTCGTTAAATTTATTAGTTAAGTGGGCATGAATTATTTCATCTTATGAATATCTTGTTGATGTTGAACAAATTTGATTATTGAATCTGAGAATACTTTATGGATATGAAATTGTGTGGAATTGGATGGTTGGATTTGACTGTGTTGGTTGTGCTGAAATGTAGTTGTGGGAGGTTTGATTATTTTTACCACGTGGTATAGCCGCCACTTGGCGCCCAGTGGTTGGCATTAACATTCTTAGGACCCTCAGTATCACCCTTCTTTTGGCCGGGTCAAGGGTCAGCCCAAGAGACATGACACCTTTCCATATTCCAAGGAAAGGGAACCCATGGTCCGATATGAGCTCTGTAACTTTTGGCCGAGTTACACCTCATTATTGGAGAGCTTGGTGCAGTCTTGTAAAAGAGACGAATCCTGTTATGTGTGTATAGCCCATGGGTTCTGTCAGAGGTTACAAGGAGGTTATAAGGATGGTTGATGAAGTTCTGTGCATGCAAATTACTTTTGAATTATTATATATTGTTTTCTGTAAGGATATTTATCCTATATGTTATTTGAAATTGTACTTTGCCCGCTTAACTATCTTGTAATCACTCCCTGGATACTTGTTGAATTGGAATTGTAGTTACTGGGTCAATTTGACTCACCTCGTGGTTATTTAACATTTTTCAGGCGAGAGTTCAGGTGTTGGTCCCAAGGGGAAGGTGTCCGAGGCTTGAGTTTTCCTGTCCACTCTGTATAGCCTCTACTTTGGTATACATGTGTTTGACTGATGTATATTGCCAAACTTAAGGGTCTTTTTGTTTTAGTTAACATAATCATAGCCTTTCCGCTGCATTCTAGACTTGTATTATTGGGCGGAGTCCTTTTTGGACATATGTGATTGTTATTTTGATTGCAATTGATAATGGGCAGCAGTGGTAATTATTTTGGTGGACTTCAAATGCCCTAGCCCATTTACAATTGGTCTTAATTGTATTTGAATATTCTAGAGTATTGCTGATGGATTTGATATATACATGAAAAATCAAATGTTGATCCTTTCTTATTTGATTAACTATCTTTACTATTCTAGAACAGTAGCTACTATTCTGTTAAAGATTTGGATTATTATTGACTATGGTAGATTTCTATTTGATTAGGTTTGTCTTTCCTACCATGGTTAACCTTTTTAAAGTAATTATCGTTTTGAAAATATTTATTTACCATGAATTACGAGGGTTGTTACACTCACAAAAAGGGAACCTGTTTAATGTTCAACTAATTCACATTAATTCTGACTGAATCATTTTTAATTGTTGCAGGCCCCAAAAAGAAAAACAAAAGAATAATCTTTAATTGTAAATATAACTTTTATTTATTTTATAACTTTTCCCCAGTTGTTCATTTTTTTAAGTATAGGTATCTTCTTAATTATTTAAGGCAATCTTGTTTACGGTATTATTTGACACTAAATGCAAGCAATGAGCACCCGCACCACTCCTAGTGAGATTTGAACCTTTGTTTGACACATTGTAAGTACCTAGCCCTCCAGTATGTTCAACCCAGTTAGTGGTTCAAATTTGATAGTTACTCTCTCTCTCTCTCTTTTTCTTTCTACGCATAGGTATCCTTCTATTATAAATAATTATATTTGAGACACTGTTGGGAACTTTTTAATATTAATTTATCACATTGTAAAAAACTTATCCTTTTTATTAGACCCAACTCGCATCGGCTGATTGTGACGGAATTTGAATTAAAGTGAGCAGTGAGAGTTGGTGGGTTTATGTGGGCTTCTTTGATTCTGGACTCAGCCCATTGGGCTTGAATTTGAAAAGAAATGTATGATTCAACATGATTATATACAGACCATAAGTTGGGGAAGATATTCAAAATCCCAATATGAGTTTGCTTTATTGCTTAGCTGGTAAGCAGCTCTTTTGTAATGGAGCGTCATGAATTTGAATTTGAACTTCGTCTTCTTCGTGGAAACCTAAACGAGCTACTTTCCACCAGTGAACCAACTTGTATCCCAGTTTACTTGTGAGGCAAGATTTTTAACATATAATGAAAAATAAGACTGAACGTGAGATAAGTATAGAAAACATAATTATAAAAAAAACAAAAGAAAAAAGTTTAGTTGTTATTGTCTTATAGGTATTTAGAGAAGAAATGTTCGGTTTATTTTAGCTTTGACAATGGTTTATCTGAACAACGGCTTATCAACATAATGGAATTGGTTTGGTTTGTCTGGTTTTGAACATTTGGCCAATGGTTAAGTATTTTAGTTTGCTAATATAGTAATATGTATAATCTAAATTAAAAATTTTATGAGATTTTTTTTGTGTGTATTTGTTGAAAAGAAATGAAATTGAAAACATGTAAAAAGGTCCAAGGCTCCTAAGGCCTGGGGCCTTATAAGAATGAGAGAAGAGGTTTGCCAACAAGATATTTTTTATCAGATAATACTTAAATCAAATTTTTTATAATTATTATGTTAAGTTTTCTAATCATATTTTATCATTTATTTTATTTTTATATATCACCATTTAACCCTAAACCCATGTGGAAAAAAAAAGGATACATGGATTAAAAAACTTGGTATAAATTTTATTATTTTATTATTTGATTAAGGGTTTTTTCTTTTGATACTTAGAGTGCAAAGAGTTTTCACCTCTTTAAACAAGTATGCTTCTCATGATTCAAACTTGTAAATTTTATCACTTTTTACACCACTTCTGGTTTTTAATATAAGAGCTAATTGACAAATTTAAGTAAATAAAGAAAATTAGTTAAGTTAGTTATTTGTAATAAATAGGTATTATTTTTTTCGAAAATATCTTTACTAATCAAGTGTATTGGTTAGAACTACTATTATTATAAGGACTACCTTTAAAAAAAATAAATATCAGAAATAAAGTGAATTGTAATCTTATATTTAGAACCAAAATAGAAGTCAAGCTAATTTTTATACTACTTCTAGTCATCATAGTTATAAGAGCTAATTGACTAATTTGAGGAGATTAAGAAAATAAATTAAGTTAGTTATTTGTAATAAATAGGTGTTGTCTTTTCTGAAATATCTTTGGCAATCAAATATATTGGCCAGAACTACCATTATTAGAAATATTATCTTGAAAAAAATACATAAATATAAGATATAAAGTATATTGAAGTCTTATATTTAGGATTAAAATAAAAATCAAACGGAATTTTATATCAATGTAGTATAAACTTAAGCCTATCAAGAGTCAATCCATTTTCCACCCTCAGGTGAGGATAAACTTTTCTATCTTCAACTGTGAAAAATCTAATCATTAAAAATTGTATTGAAATCCTACATTATCTCTTCCTTACATACTACTATTAAACTATAGAATCCCTGCTGGCAAAAAAAGAAAAAAACTATAGAATCCCTCATTTTTCTATGCACAATAACTTTAGCATGTGAATTTTTTTTCCGGCCGAATAACTTTATCATGTGATGGTATCCGAGATTTTTCATTTAGCAATTTAGTTAAAATAGAGACAGAGATGAAAGGCAAAGGATCAGTGTATTTATGAGTGTGGGTTCCACAATATCATCTTATTTTAACTTAATTGCTTGAATAATGAAATAATTGATGATTAAGCATTGAAAAGTTTTTAATTCTTATGGCCGTCAGTCCCCACCATTTTCTTTAGATATATGATTGTTCAATAGTAAAAGATTTGATTTCAAAATGAGCATCCTCCAAGAACAACTATGATTTGATATTATTCCTAGAAAGAAATAATATTTAAGGATCTTAAAAAAATTAATTAAGTTTGTTATTTGTAATAAATACATGTTAATTTTTTTAAACTATCTGCTTAATTATGTGAATTAGTAATTTTTCTTTATGAAATCTTTTATAGTCAATAGAAATATTTTGAGGTGAAAATTATAAATTTGAGAGATAAAATATATTAATGTCTTCTATTTATGATCAAATTTAATTCTTAACTTTTTTTTATATTAATAATTGGAGGTAATATTAATTATAATAGGGGAACATGGTATTGAAATGTTTCCAATTGACTGTTTTTTTTCCCTTTTCTTTGTTTTTCTTCTTTGTTTTTTTGGGACAGCAAAGGTGCATCTTGAAAGGGAAAAGAAAGAGAAAAGTACTCCCCCCGGGCTAGAATAAATATCCATTCCAATCCTTAAAAAAAAAAAAAAGAATAGAATATCCATCACTTGTCAATCATTTCAAAAAAAAAGTTTATTCCTTACTTTAAATATTACATATTCCTCCTCTTTTTAATATTTTAAACTTGCTTAATTAATTTTGAGTAAATTAAAAAAATTAAGTAAATTATTTAACCATAATAAATATAACTTGATCTCCTTAAAATGCTTATAAATTATTCATGATATGACCTCATATTGATAAACAAATTTTTTTTATGTATAGATACCTATTTGAAACATTTTGTGTTTTGCTTTTTTGCAACTTTATGACAATTTATATTAATCATTCATTTAGATATTTATATCAATGCTGATGATTTTTATAAGCCCCCTGAAACATGCAATATGTAAATTATTGCATGGGAATATTACTTTATTGTAATTATCAAAAAAAAATTGTAAAGTGCAGATCAGAACTAATTCGGAAGCACCTGATTCTCTGCCACCTTGTAAAACGTAATGTCGT